AAACAAAAAAGTTTTATTTTTAGTTTTTTTCATTTATGCTATTTGCTATTTTGAGACTTGTTTTGATTGAGAGGTTGTAGTGTGAATCATGGACAAGTTGCAATCGATAAGGTTTATCATGATGATTAAGTCATTGTAGGTGAGTTTTCATACTAGTATTTGGAATGCAAAGCTGAAGGTTGTGTATAGAAAGTACTATGATCCTTAGAGAGGTGTTGTTTAATTTCAACAAATACACTACAACGTAAGACATTTTATATAACAAAATTTGAGATGATAACAAATGCAAAAATGCAAATTAAAAATTGACATGCTCAATGTGAGCAATCAAGAATTTCACATCAAGTGAGCAATCAGCTTGTATGAGATGCAAATATATGAATCACAACTTTAAAAACCCAGGCTAGTAGAATTTATAAGCTGGAAAATAAACACAAAAGTGTATTAGATTGTGTGAGAACAATATGCAAATAATCTGTATGCTTATTGTAAAAAAGATATCGAAGATATAAAAGACTAGAAAAAGAAGACAATTTTTTAATGCACCCTATATGTTTTTACAGCATCAAGCGAATTTTCCTAAATACCCTTTATTTTCGGGGATACATCTCCATACACACTTAAATGTAAGTTAACATTAAAATATTCTGGAGATGCATTTTGAAATACTTTGGAGTATATAAGTTGAGTCAAACTCTTCTCCTTCCTCATTTCACAATTTTCTCAACCTCTCTCAAAACACTTCTCTACACCAAGTCAAATTTCATCAAACAATGCTCAAGGGAAGTCAAAGGAACATCAATCTTCATATGTAACATCATCCAACTTCATCAAAAACATCAATCTTCATATGTAACATCATCCAACTTCATTAAAAACATCAATTTCAAGTAAGTTTTTTGAGTTTTCCGTAAATGGTTGAGTTTTGGTGTAAATGAGTAGAAATCAATGATTAGGGTTAGAAATGAATAGAAATCACATCTAACATTGTTTAGACATAGTGTATTAGTTGATTCTTGGCTGAAAAATGATGATCAAAACAAATTTTTTTGAGTTTGCATGTGGTATATTATGCCATTGACGTAACTTATGAGCTGCAGAAAATTTTGGAGATGCATCTCCAGAATTGTTCAGCGTTTAATTTTTTGCAGGAAACTCTGGAGATGCATCTCCAAAAATTTTCAACGTTTTAATTTTCCAGTGATTCTAAAGATGCATCTCCGAACTTTTATGCAGTATTTTTTTATAACTTTCTTGCTTATGTGTTGTTTGCATGCATTAATTGTATGTCTTACTTTAACTTGTATGCATAATGGTTGATAGACATGACAGACTTAGGCATGACAGGGTTTCTCAACAAACATTCGTTCGACAGAAAAATAGCCACAGATTCCAGAGGCTTCAGGTCCCTCAGTCCAAGCAGAGCCTTCTACTTCCGGGGCTCGTGCTTCTCCTCATGCCACCCTATCTTCTTCTTCCCGTAGTAGGCGGAATTCACCATATGGCGCATCACTTCCTCCATCCTTTTGTAGGCGTCAGAATTTACCGATGCCACTTCATACAAATGTTGCTGCTAATCCAGTCTCACACCCATCCCACCTCCTACGGATGTTGTTATTGATCTAGTTCCACCACCGAAGGATGAGGCCGTTGCGGATGCCAAGCCAGAGGCTTTTGGAGGAGGTCCAGTTGATTTATCCTTACAACCTATGTATCCAGACCATACTACCACACATATATGGCACGGAGATGTAACATTAGTTGGATTCTTGATTTATTTTTATCTTAATTTTAATTTCTAACATTAATTATTTTTGACATTGATTATTTTTGACATATTTCAAGAGTGTAATCCCTAGAAGTTTCATAACCATGGGAGGAAGATTGTTGTGTTGCCTTAGCCGAATGAGGAATTGGTGTCAGTCAATTTTTTCCTTATCTGACTTGAAGGACTTGTGCATTACCGATTACACTATGGTCAACCACGTGATGCTTAATGCATTCGTGAAGAGATGACACTCAGAGAGCTCTTCGTTTCATCTCTCGCATGGTGAGATTTCTATCACACCGGACGATGTCTCGTGTTTGATACATCTTTCGATCAGGGGGGATATTCCTATGTCATAGAAGGATGACCAAACAGGAGGCACTCGAGATGATGGTAGAGTATCTTGGGGCTGATCTAGGGGAGGCGATGAAGGATTTGGATATGACTATGGGTCCTCATACTAGATTTGAATACCTGAATAAGTTAAATGAGGTTGAGATCCTGAGTTCACATGCGGCTGATGGTGATGCTTAGTAGGTGGCGCTCCACATATATCATGCATTGGGAGTATACCTACTTTATTTGGTTGACACTTCGGTTCTTGTGGACAAGAGTGCCACCTATATAGACGTCGTCTACCTATGGTACTTCATGGACTACGAGAGAATCCATAAATACAACTCGGGGGCAGATTACTTGGTTTACCAGTATTCGAAGTTGGGAGAAAGTTGTATGTGGAAGACAAAATAGGTCATTGGCAGTGTGACACTACTGACGGTAATATTTATTGGTCTTTGAATGTTTTGTCATTTTCATTTCATATTTGCAAAACCATTACTGATGATTCGTGTGTTTCAAACTTTTTATTTCAAGCTTGGATCCTCAAGAACTCCCCGCGCATCTCCGGCTAAGCAAGTGTGCCTGAGTACACTGAGGATATTCCGTGTGTTACTGCTTTTATCCCGCTCATAGGGAACTAAGCAACCGAGCCTTCTTAAGTTTATCTTGACTGTTTGGTTGTCTAGGACATGCACTTCAATGATTATGTTGATCACCGCCAAATGCGGTCATATGACGAGATAATGTTATACTTTAGATGGTTGGATTACGGATCGCGTGTCACTGTTCCCCATCTTCCAGAGTGCATCATGCGGTAGTTCAGCTACACTCAGACCATTCCCAGACACCTTGTTGCTTCTGCTTCTCCTTCCTTGACACGTAGACAAATAAAGGTGATGTTTGATGATTATGAGTCATTTGGTATCAGAGGAAGCACGAGCTACCATAGTTGAGAGCGACTGGATTTACGTTGAAGGGTACATCATATGGTTCTTCAGGGTGTCACATTCGTACGTGATGTATGCTGCTCCAGGAGATCTGTCAAGACTACCTCATCAGGAGATACTAGAGGAGGAGCAGGCACAACTAGATCATACTGATGATGTCTTGCCTATGTGTCATCGTATAGTGGAGATTGCGTAGGCAGACATTGACACAAGTATCTTCCCTGATCGTTCTGATGTCCGACGAGTCCTAGATGCCATCATGAAGGAGGCACAAGAGGCATTGTTGTACTAGAGACATCGCCAGAGAATAGGAGAAATTGATGATAGAGGAGGTAGATGGGGCAGAAGAGGTCGAGGAGAGGTTGTCAGACACACACAGTAGAAGTCTCTTATTATATAGTTGTAGCACTATGATATGTATTTTATTTTCACAGTCTTACTACTTGATCTCAATTGTGCGACATTTTCGACTTATATTACTATTTTATTTTTGTATGGCATTCTTAGTCCTTATGAAATTATGTACGTTTATTTTTTTTCTTTTTTCGATTGCACGGATTACTTAAAATCTTCATTCGAACACAAGTAAATAACATATAACATGCAATAAATTGTTCTGATACGTCTGAGAGATGTATCTCCAAAATATTCACGAAGATGTATCTCCTGTACAATTCAAACGTGAATGATTTTTGTGTGGGATGTACTGAATGTTTTAAATTGTTACGGAGATGCATCTCTAAAATATTTCTATTCATTTTGAAATAGATACGTCCTAAGATACATTTCTAAGAACTAAAAACATTTAAATAATTTCACGTGGTGGTTAAGAAATATTTAGGATGCATTCAAAAATTCTCAAAATAGAATAAGAGTAAGTTACCATTAAGAAATAATTCATTTTAAAATCCCACATCTTTTTGTTTAGAAAATAGTTGTATTTATAAAACTTTTTCATGATATATCATATGAACGTGGATAAAAAAGGCTAGGCCCGATATATTTTTATTATAATTAATTAATTTTAAATAAAAATATAATTAAATATTTTATTAATTAATTAGTTTATTAATTGTATAAAGAAATTTAATTAGTTTATTAATTAAAAAATATTAATAAATAAATTATGATAATCAATATTGTCAACCAGACAATGTCAATTATTCTTTGTAGTAGTTTAAAAAACAGCTATTCAGAAATATAATTAATTTTTCAACTTAAAGCGTTTAATAAAAAAGTTATTGTTATAAATATAATCGACCTATTTATTATCTGGACAAACAACAAATAAAGAAGTGTTGTAGTAGTAGCTTTCTACTAGTATGTAGTCAAGTCACATTCTCTCTTCTTTTTTCCAGTTGACAATAAGTATAACACAATAATTTGTAATTTTATTATGAAAACTTAATTTTTAATTTATTAAAATACATGGTAATTTGTAGTTTTGTTATCAAATATGTAGTATGTAATTTAATCTTTTGGATAGATTTTTTGTATTCTAATCTTTTGGATATATTAGTTTTTATTATAGGATTTTCTTTTTTTAGTTATTATAAAGAGTTGATTTTGTGGCTGATTTTTTAAATTTGAATAAGGTTACTAACTATAGTTGAAATAAGTGAAAAGTTACATGGACTTGCATTGTATAGAATGTTTTTATTTTTTTTCAGTGATAAGTCTTCAAATACTAGTATAAATATGATTAGCATGGAAACGCAACATCAAATGGGGATGTAGCTCAAATGGTAGAGCGCTCGCTTAGCATGCGAGAGGTACGGGGATCAATACCCTGCATCTCCATATATTTTCATGTGTTTTTCGACTTCTGCTATTTATGTTTTCTCTTTCCAGTTTCCACTACATTCAACACTGCATTTTTTTTCATCATATATATACATACACACAAGAAGCATTTCTTTGTGTAAAATTTGTACCATTTCTTTATCTTACAAACTTTGGGCGTTGCTTGTTTCTTGATGAAGATGAGGAAAGAAAGAATTCACCATTGGACAATCGTAATTCAGTTCAGCAGGCCTTGCAATTTTATGCCTTCACACATCAACCATCATCATATTAGTATACATATCAATATACAATAATTCTCATCATATTATTCTTTTCTTACCATTCTTGATCAATCAACATTTCATCCGTCAATCCAAATTCTCTTAACTCTTGTTCATCATGATGCATCAGTAAACTATACCTGTTAATTTATGCTTCTCACATTTAGTTATTAGACTAACATTGACTCAGACACCAAGAACACGACACCAGCATTGAGACATTGACATGTATCATTGACCAGACACACCTTTAATATCAAACATTGATATTATAGAGGATCAATTACCTTCCACCATAGCCCTTTTCCATGACAAGCTCACCTCCATTTCCAAAGTTATTGAGACCTTCAAACTGTTCAACTGTCCACTTATACCACCTCATGAGAAAAACTCTAAGAGTTAAACCGTGCGACACAATCACCAAGTTCACGTCAAAATTCTTCTCTCCTGGTGGCTGATATCGTCCGATATTAATATCTGCTCTAAGTGTTTCTCTAAATCCTGAATTTCAATATAAAATCCAACATTGTGCTCAATATTGTTTATTTGTGGTTCACGATTCAGGCCTCTTTGCTATATTTTTAACTGTAAATCTCCGCAATATAAAGAATTTAACTACTATTTTAAAATTTTATTACCTGTGATTCTATCATATACATCAGCCGCTGATTCTCCATTAGGAAATCGATAAAAGAATCGACCATAAAGATTTCGTTGCGCCTTTTCAACTTTCATCAACTCTCTATTTTGAAAATTCCCTTACACAACATAAATCACAAAGAAACAATAAATAAATTTGAAAATACACAAATATATACAATGCCAAAAACTAATCAATTAATTGATATTTGATACCGAAATCTTGTTCTCGAATGCGAGGCTCTTCTCTGAAACCAGCAATTCTGGAGCGTTCAAAAGGACGAGCTAAGCTTTGCAAAGTTTCAAGAGTTCTTCTATATGGAGACACATAAAAGTAGAGTTGCCAATTTTCATCACCATCTTTCTCAATCATGTTCTTGATTCTTTGACCACATTCCTCTGCTTGAACTTTTCCTTTGTTGGTTAGGCCTATTTTAGGATCAGGAACCCTGGTGTAAACACTCTCATCCACGTTTCCTTCACTCTCTCCATGTCTAACAAGGATTATTCTTCTAGGCCTTGGAGGTACTGCACCAAAAGTGGAGGCTACTAAAGGGTTTATGAGAGGATTTTTCTCTGGAAACCTGGCATGTCCATTGTTGTTGTTAAGTGAATCTATGGATTCTTTTTGGTTGTGACAACATTGGATTAGTACTAAGTATGTGTTGTTAGTCTTAGAATACTTAGAAATAGGATTGGATTTGATTTTAAGGTGTTTTGGTTGAGATGCTGAGAGAGGTAGAGTTGCTATGGCAATGCTCATGATATACTTGAATGCAATTCTACTCAATCTCACATATTTATTTCTTACTTCATCTGGTCATGTAGAGAGTGTGATATTTGTGGTTGACATGAATCCTTCCAAAATTTTGGATATCATGAATGATAGACCAACCAAGTTGTCCATATGTGTTGACAAGTGGTGGTTTTCATGTGGTCCTAGATTGTTGACATGTCTTGTATCTTGGAGCTTGAAAAACATCTCGACATTTATTTATTTATTTTTAAAATGGAGGTGTATGCAAAACATATTTTAAAAATTTTACTAATTATATTTTAAGAGTATTACAAATATGATTGTGGGAGATTGACATTCATAGAGATGCTGATATAGTTGGAGACCGTGATAACTCTATAAAGAGAGAATGTATGTGCAAAAACTGTAATGATTAAGTCACTAACTAATTTAGAGTGAAACTTTAGGATTTATAGAATTTTCCTCCTTCTCTTTCATGGAACTAGAGCAGTAGAGAAAGAGGACACCATTTCCATTGTTCATCTCTCCATTTTTTTCCCTCCTCTTCCATCGAATGCTTCAATAACCAAAACTTAACAGAAAATTTTCATCCTCCTATTTTACGAAACCATAGCAGCCGAGCCGAGGAAGAGCAAACTATTTCCCCTTTTCAATCTTCTCCACATTTCAAAGTCTTCTAAAGATCGTTCATAATCACACTCACAACTCACAGAGTAAGTTAAATTTATTTTGATTTGCATTGATAGAAAACTTTCCCTTTCCTTATTATTGTTGACCTTGGTAGTTTGATAATGATATCACTTATCAAGGACGGAATAATGTGATGATGTTTACATGGGGCACACATAGAATTGTTATAGCTCATTTTTTGCATATTGATAAAAATTCAGGAGAAAAGAAGTCTAGTTTTTTAGTTATGACGCAGAATGAAAAGAAGTTTGATAAAACTGTTAAAGAAACTGAATGTTTATGCCGAATGGTGATTAAGGGGATAATGAGTGTTGTAAAGGAGGAAACAAGAATTTCATAAAAAGTTCTAAAGATCCTAGAGGATTTCAAAGAGTTGCCTCTTATGCGAGACATTCAACATCAGATTGAACTCATCCAAAGGCCTAGTTTACCAAACATTTATCAGATTGAGGATTTGTTGAAGAAAGGATTCATCCGTGAGAGCATGAGTCCTTGTGCAGTACCAGTCTTTCTAGTCCCTTAAAAGGGAAATCAACGATGAATGCATGTTGATAGAAGAGCCATCAATAAGATAACTATCAAGTATTGATTCCCAATTCTCCGTTTAAAAGACACGTTTGACGAGTTGGTGGGTTCTAAGGTGTTCTTGAAGATAAATCTGTGTAGTGGATATCACAAGTTCAGAATCAGGCATGGGGATGAATGAAAAACAAATTTTAATAGAAAATAAAGACTGTATGAGTGGTTGGTGATGCCTTTTGAGCTGTCAAACGCCCATAGCACTTTCATGAGACTGATGATTTCAGGTTCTGCGTTTATTTACTGATTCTTTTGTAGTATTTTATTTTGATGATATTTTTTATTTATAATAAGACCAAGAAAGAACATATGAAGTAGGTGAAGCAGGTGTTTGAAGTCCTACAAGAGAACCAGTTGTACGTTAATCTGAAAAAAATGTACATTCAGCACCAACAAATTACTTTCCTAGACTTTGTTATTGGTGAAAAAGGAATTCAGGTGGATGAAAATAACGTAAGTGCTATCAGGGATTGGCCTGCACCTAAATCAGTGACTGAGGTTTGTAGCTTTCAGGGTCTAACCACCTTCTATAGGAGGTTTATCAAGGGTTTTAGTACTATCACGACACCTATTACCGAATGTTTAAAAAAAGGGAAGTTCAATTACGACTTTGAGCCGCCACTACAGTTGTAGCACTTCCTGATTTTGAAAAATTATTCCAAGTTGAATGTGATGCTAGTGGAGTGGGGATAGGAGATGTATAGTCTAAAGAGAAGAAAAGAGTGGCATTTTTCAGCGAAAAATTAAGTGATGCTCGTCAAAAATAGAATATTTATGATTAAGAATTCTATATAGTCTTTAAATCTTTGCACCAGTGAGAACATTATTTGGTTCAGAAAGAGTTCATTAAGTTCGCTGACCATTAAGCTTTGAAGTTTCTTTACGACCAGAAGTTGATAAACAAGATGCATGTTCGATGGGTGAGTTATTTTGTAGAAAATTTTAATATTATTTAGCATAAGTCAAGATGCATATGCTCGGTGGGTGAGTTGTTTTGTAGAAATTTTTAATATTATTCAGCATAAGTTAGAGGCTTTTAAAAAGGTAGCGGATGCATCGAGTAGGAAGACTTCCTTACTAATTAATTACCTTAGTGCAGGAAATAGTAGGCTTTGAATACCTAAAATAGTTGTATGAAAGAGACGTTGAATTCAAGGATTTATGGACTAAATGCAGTCAAAAACATCTTTGTGCATATTTTCATATTCGAGATGGTTATCTTTTTAAAGGAGATTGATTATGCATCATTTCTCGTCCTTAAGACAGAAGTTAATCTAATGGTTATCTTTTTAAAGGAGATTGATTATGCATCATTTCTCGTCCTTAAGAGAGAAGTTAATCTAAGATCTGCATGGTGATGGTCTTAGCGATCATCAGGGTAGAGACAAGACCATTGCTAACTTGGAGGAGATATATTATTGGCCACACTTGAAGAGGGATGTTGGTGTTATAGTCCGGAGGTGTCATACTTGTCATATTTCTAAAGGTCAGACTCAAAATACTTGTCTTTATATGCATTTACCTATTCTTGATGATATTTGGCAAGATTTAGCCATAGACTATGTGTTGGGCTTGCCTCTACACATCAAAGTGTAGATTTTCTGTTTGTTTTAGTAGACTGATTTTCTAAGATGACAGACTTCATTGATTAAAAGAAGGTTGTTGATGCGTCTAACATAGCTAAATGTGTTTTTCAATGAGGTTGTGTGTCTAACATAGCTAAATTTGTTTTTCAAGGAGGTTATGTGTCTTCACTGGATTCCTAAGTCAATTACTTCAGACATGGACATTGAATCTCTCAGTAACTTTTGAATTACCTTTTGGAGATTGTTTGAAACTGCCCTGAATATGAGTTCTACAGCTCATCTGTTTGGACAAACTGAGATAACCAAGAGAACTTTGGAGAATATGATTTAGAGTGTTTGTGGAAACTGCAGTGGGATTTAGTTTTACCTCAGGCTGATATGGAGATATATTTTGATGATTGGCATGACATATATTCATGCCAAAATCGTTTTTTGTTTTCAATGTCATGAAAACATCTGATTAGTTTTTATGTTTTTGTGCACGCACGGTATCTGCAGCAAAAATCAAAGCCAGCAAGGAAAAGCAAATTACAAATTGAACTTCTTTATTTCCAGTAAATTAACTTATAATTTGTATCTATAATGATTATAAACTACAATTTTTTTGCCCATGTATCCTCTGTCCAGCACCCATCCCATTCCGGGGACATGACAAAATTTTACATTTATACTCAATAAATGAAGAAATAGAAACAAAGAATTAATATAGACAAGAAACTAATTTTAATCAGTCACAAGTTACAATTACGGTTCGCTGACCTCGCCATCTTTACATATACCAACATCAATCACCATTCTTCCTTTCTTGTTTGACTTCATTACTCTGCAACAGTTTCTCCTTGGAGCCTGCCACAATTAGTTTTTGCATCTTAAAACCAAAAGCCTAAAATACACTTGACAAGTTGGAACTTATCAAAGCTAGTTATAAGTTAGTTACGATTGAATGCGAATTGGTTATGATTAGATGAAAGTTAGTTATGATTAATTAGAACTAGTTGAATTCGCTGTATCCTACTGTAATTATAATCATAACGAAATTTCAACTAATCATAACTATATTGTAACTACCTTAAACAATGGAATTGATGTGACAAGAGAAGAAGAACATACCCTATCCCATAGATGTGGGTCTGGTTTCTTATATACAACAATTTTGTCAAGAGCAGAAGGATCAGCCATTTTCCATCGACATTCTGGATGAGGAACACGATGCCTTTCATATTCACTCACTGTCTGATGTATTGTAGAATTGAGTTCGGCCTTTGAAAGGTAAAACACAAAAGGCTTCTGACACGGGTTTCGTGTAACCGGCCGTGTATTGAAAGCATATGCAGTGTAATCAGCTCTTCTGTACCAATTAAGGAATGTTCTTGAAGGCATTTCAATTTCGCGAGGCGAAAATATCCCGCGAAATATCTGAACTGCAAAACCCCATGAAACTGAAATAGTCCATCTCTTTTCTTTGTCGTAGCAGATGGATTGCTGAATGAGTCCTGCTGAGTCAAGCTTCATTGGTATGGTAAGGCGTTGAAGTGCTTCTACTCTTGTGGCATTGGGGAAAATCGGCTCAACCACATCAAGATGGTGTAGTGATACCAATGGAGTCACTGGATGAGATGCAAGAAGCCCAAATAAGTTCCCATACACATCATACTGTTTCAATAAAATATGGATTGTTAGTGTCAAAACTTGCACAATAGATAACATGAATTCGCTGAATCATTTTTTTAATTATGATCAAAGCTTTGAGGTTCATGTTCTAAAAGGTATGAGATTTCTATTATCAATAAACTGAAGACATGACTCTCCATATTTTGCTAACATCCAAGATAGAGATCACTTTGATTCAATAAAAAAAAACTGAGAAATTAAAATTAGTCATTTTCCCTTACCTAAGTATTAAAGACCTAGTTTGGCCTTATCTTCTGAACTTTAGACATGGCAACTACTATAATAAATCTAAATTGTTCAATGTTTAAAATACCAGAATACCTAAAATCCCACATTACATGAATTGCAATTGAAACCTACGTAAATAGAAGAAGCACACCATCCACCATCTATTAAAGGAGGTGTTTTACTAGTAATAATATGTTTACATTTTGCAGTTAGAAACAAAAGATCACCATCAAATCAATCCATTTCAACAACAATTGATTACCTTTTTTTATTTTAATAACAATACTCACTATAAACTCATACATACACAAATGCAAGATTTCTAGTTTGAAATTAGATGATAATAATTTTTTGGTTAAGTCAGAACTTGCATAAGAAGAAACCTAATTAATAAGTTACTACTTTAATTATAATACCATGCATGTATAGAAACAATCTAAGCATTCCGGAAATTCTACCTCATCTGATAAAAATAGATAGTCTTAACTTAAACACCATCATTTGAATTCAAATCCAAAATCTCCCATTTGTGTATAAATTTTTAGCGGTAATTATCATTTCATCTCCGGATAGCCTATTTTTTGGATTTTTTTTATAGGTAAATGAAGTGATAATAATAAAAAATATATATTCATCCATTTAATTTAGATATTTGTCAACTGATTTACCGGAACAAATTCTTTTGTTACACAAAACACAAAAGTTACCCTAAAATAACTCAGTTGATAGTTGTGTAAAACATCTAATTTAAAAGTGCGGATTTAAATATGTGACATTCAACTTGTCGTTCTTATTATAAAATGGACTCCGAACACTATACTCCTTTGACAAAAAAAAACAACGCCGAGCCCATCCAACACTGCAAATTCGCTGGTGCTTGGAGCCAGAGTTACGTGGGGCCAAACATGTTTTCAGTGAGGGCAGGGAAGTAATAACGCATCACCAACCAAATCAAATTTAGAAAAAAATAAAAAACAAGCCCATCATATAGGCCCAAACAGTACCTTTCGTTCAACTCAGCCATGACATATAATCCACACGTGTCGCATAAATAACACAAAAAGACACATAAGCATAATCAAATAGTAACTAAATTCTAATTAAAATGAATTAATCAACAATTAACAACTAACCTGGTGGAAACCGATTTCTTTGGTGAGTGGAACACCGAGTTCCGCCATACAAGCTTGCATTCGATCATCAGAACCATAAAGTCCAGGATACCTATGAATACACCGATCCTGCATTTTGACCAGAGCTTTCGCCAATCCATAACTAATCGCAAATCCACCACCACCATAAGCCATACCATAAGAAAAATATATATTCTGCAAATGACTCTCCGATAAGCTTCCAATGTAATAATCCTCTTTGTAATCATACTTATTCAAAACCCTAATTAAATTATCCGTTACAAAAACGGTGTCGTCGTCTCCCATTACAAACCACCGCACATCCTTGAGCCCTAAACGCACCGTTTCGGAGACTATTCGCGAGATGCGAATAGCCGAACGGTGACCTTGTTTGTTTGTGTAAGGAAAATTCGATGTGTCAGTCGAGATTCTCACCATTGGAAGACCTTCGTTTGGATCTGTTTTTACTGTATCGTCCATCCAAACGATTCCTCTCATTGTTTTGTTGTTGTACCAGAGTTTTATGTAGTTTTTTCTTTGTGGCCAGAGTTTTGAGGATGCGGCGATTCCGAATACCACGTGTTTGAGGTCTGTTTTGTGAGAAGTTGTTGAAGTGTTGATGGTGGATTTGTGGAGGTTGATGGAGAATGGAGGGTGGTTGCAGGTGGTTGAAGTGGAGACGAGTTTGAGAGTGTAGATGAAGTAGGTGAGAGAAACGGTAAGGATGAGCCATAGCATGAAAAGCTTTGGTGAGTGTGGATTTGGAGTTCGTTGTTGCTGTGTTGGATTGACTAGTATTTTCTCTGAATCTTTCATTTTTGTTTATGATAAATTGAAAAGCTTTTACAATGTTTAATCTTTACTTAAGACAAGAGTAAGAATAAGAATAGAAAGAGATGATATAGAACGATTGAGTAGAAGGTATGATAGGGACCTATGCATTGAATTATGGTGATGGAATGAGAGTGAGAAGGAGGAAGTAGGGAGGTGAAAAAGGAGAGAGGAGAGGGTAAAGTCGATAGAAGAGCATGCACAAGTGACAGGTTGCACGCACTCCGGTACTCAAAGTGTCCCAATGCCAATACTCGTATTTATATTGCTGCTAGCTTAAATTACAAGGGATTAAAGGATAAATACATCTTAGAGATGGTGTTGCTAATTGCTATATAATTCAAATTTAGCTAGTTATATTAATTAGTTGGATATAAATATATTATGTAGTTAAATTACAATAATATAATTTATTTTTTATTTTTCACATTCTTTCTATCATTTTCAAATTTTTTTCTTCTGGGAAGACAATGATCTCATATATGCATAATTGTCCCAATAATAAAATCACACTATATGAGAATTTGATTAATTTTGCTTTACTTATAAGTGTTGAACCAATTAACTATAGTGAGGCCGTAAATAATAAACAATGGAAGGTAGATATGGTCGAAAAGTTACAGCCCATTAAAAGAAACAATATGTGGGATCTAGTCAAATTGTCAACATCTGCAAAAGCTATCGAACTGAAGTGGGTGTTCAAACTGAAGTACAATCCTGATGGGTCGATTACAAGACATAAGGCAAGATTAGTAGCACATGCATTTTTTCAAAGAGCAGGACTCGACTGCTTTGAAGTATATGCACCAGTTGCAAGATTGAAGACTATCATTCTAGTGGTAGTCTTAGCATGCAAGTAAGGTTGGTCGACATTTCACTTAAATGTGAAATCAACGTTTTTTAATGGTTCCCTAGATGAAGTTTTATATGTTACACAAGCACCTGGTTTTGTGATACAGGAGGAAGCAAGGAAAGTGTACAAGTTGCACAAAGCCCTTTATGGCCTTAAACATGTACTTAGGACATGGAACAATAAAATCGATTCATACCTAGTCAAATTGGGATTCTTCAAATGTAGGTCTGAGTATGGTATCTATATACAGGCCATGGCACAAGGCATAACAATCATCTGCTTATATGTTGGTGACTTGTTAGTAACTGAAAAATAACACTGAAATTTTTTCAAAGTCCAAAGAGTTGATGAAGACAGAATTTGAAATGTGTTAGATTTTGGGAAACTTGTCTTATTTCCTAGGCATGAAATTTTAAATTAGCAAACAAGGTATGATGCTACATCAAATGAAGCATGTCAAAGAAATACTCAAGAGATTTGAGATGGTTGATTCGAATCTTGCATTCTCACTTGTCGAACTAAATCTGGATTTGGAGAAGTATGGAGAGGAGGACAAGGTCGATGTCACTTTGTTCAAACAAATTGTAAGATCTCTGAGGTATGTGTGCAATAGCAAACATGATATAGCTAGGTTTCTTAGTTGGATTGGTGAGCAGATACATTAATGAACCAAATGCGTCACACATGAAGGATGCAATGTCTTGAGATACCTAAAAGGATCACAAAATTGTATAATCATGTTTCCACAAGATTTTGAAGGCAAATAAGTTGTGATAAATTTCTATTTAGATGCTAATTGGTGTGGAGATAAGGAGGATAGAAGAAGCACAACTGACTATTTTTTTCAAGTGTTTGGTGCCTCAATATCACGATGCTCGAGAAAGCAACTTGTGGTGGCATTATCAGAATTTGACCCAGAGTATATATCATGATCATATGCTATCTGTCAAGCAATCTGGATCAAATATGTGGCCGATGAGATGAATGTCGAAGTAAAAAAACTATGAGTGTTGTAGATCAACTACAAGTCAACCATTAATCTTGCAAAAAATCCAGACGAACTTAAGGTAAGACACTACTCGAGTGAAGCACAAGTGGCCGCCGACGTTTTCATCAAATGATTTAAAATCGATACATTTCTGATTTTGAAAAAGAAGTTAGGAATAGTTCAAATCGATTATGATTAGTTTGTGATTAGCTACTTGGATTATAAGGAGGTATGTTCGGATATAATCTAAGTTTAGTTTGTTATGTTAATTGCTTGGGATACAAGTAATTACTTGTATATAAAATATATGTATGTAGTTAGATTACAATAATAAAATTTATTTTTCATTCTCCCCATTCTCTATCACACTCTCATTCCTTCTTCACCTAAGTGTTTTAGCACTAACACGACAATCAGTCGGTTTGGATCGATATCATGCCTAAAACTTAAATCGGATGTAAATCACAATTTCATTTAAACGGTTTAATTTTGATCAATAACATTTTAATTTTTGACATATTCATTTAAGTCGGTTTGACGGTAAGTCAGATGGATTTGGTCGGTTTAATATTTTTTGAACTAAAAATCAAATAATTCAGATAAATATTTTAAATATATATATATCAATTGTATTTTTTAGATAAATTTTAAATACATCTTTTTAGATGTCAAAACAATATTGGTTAGTAAAAAGTTAAGGAAATTAAATTTGGCTAATATTTTAACTTTTTTAATAGTAAATAGATGAGTAAATATTAATATAATTATATATATGTAGTTTTTAATTCATTTTTAACTAAAATTTTAAAAAATTAATCATTTGATTTTCGTCACACCTCATAATAAAAGACATTTATTTTAAAGATAATTCACAAGACAATTATATAGTGAGTAAGAGAAACGTGTAAATTTCCAATCTATGAAAAAGTCTAAATTTCTAATATTTTTCTGTCTGGCTTTCGTGGGGCTACATTATAAACCAGATACAGAAATGCAATAAATCTTTGTCTATCTATTTTTTACATTTTGAGTAGGTTAACTAGTGTTTTCTATTGCTCACATTGACAGTGTCACACTAAACAACTCTTCATCATTATCATCACCAATTAGTTAAACTCCAATTTAAGCTTTTTCTTTCATTTATCTTATCCTTAATGACAATATAGTTACAATACAAAACAAGATTACCATACAAATTCCTATTTTAAGTTTTGTTAACATGTACTAGAATATCTATATAACTTTAATATAAATGTATAAAGCAATTTCCTTTTTAAAACTCTTATTTTAAACGAAACTTCTTTTTATTTGGCAATGTTACTTTTGTTTGATAAAATTAAATGATAGTTTGTTAACACGTAAAAGAAGTCAATATCTTTTTAAGGAAAAAAGAAGAAAAAATAACACATTTCTATTCCGTACCATGGTGGTTTAAGTTAGTGTTTGGGATTTTTAATCAAGTAATTAAAATGGTAACTATATCGTCATTGTTAAACAACATAACTTTACTTTAGTCAACGGTTTGTTGCTGTCAATTGAATTATTTTTGTACGTATGTTGTTACCATGTTTTCACTTGTTGTTACTTCTTTGAATCGGTTTACCAGAAGTTATTGCCACATTACCTACTTGTTAGGTTTTCATTCAATTTGACGCATCATAAAGAATAAATCTAAAATGCAGTGCTGGAGAAATTTTACGAAATTCTATATGGTCTGTGTTTTACTTTGAAATGAGATAAATAATATTGTCAATCAACTATATTTTAAATTGGTACTTATCAAAAGAAAATGTCAAGAATGTCAGAAATTTAATTCCTCGCAACTTTTTTTATTTGTATTATTTTATAAATGGTTAAAATAAAAATTAAGTTATTTTTAATATCCAACTACTATTATTAATAGACGGTATAAAATCTTTTTAAACGTCAGTGTATTTAAATTAAATTTGAAATAAAATCCTTTGTAACATAATATTTTTTATTAGGGTTTAAATTATGGGTGAAAATAAGTTAGGTCGATAACAGATACCTACTGACCTAGTCTACATAGGCTCAGGCTAGACCAAGTTTTTTTTAAAATAAAAAAGACCGAAGTTTTTTTATAAGCTTATTTAGTTAAAAAATATATGTCTCCGGATATGAAAAAAGTCATTTAAACCTAACAGATATGAATAATTTTTTTATTATCATTATATTATGTTTTATACTTTGAATTAAAATACATAAATAAAAATTGATTATCTTGGAGAACTTATGAAAAAAAGATGAAAACACTTTATGAACAATGTTATAAGTTATTTTCATAAGTTATCTTAAACAAATAATCTCACAAATCCTATGTTAATAGATAAGTTAAAATAAGTCAATATAAAAAAAAAATTTGTCTCATTGGTTTTTATTTGTTAGTCTATTTAAAATAACAGACTTTTATGTACGCTAGAAGGCTAACCATACCTTAGAAAATGTCAGACTCAGGCTTATAAATATGTTTATGACAGGCTACAGAACAAACTTATGCTTCAGTTTTTTTGGTAGATCAAGTTTTAACTTGGCAAAGCCTAACTCGGCTCAGCCTATTTTCACCCCTAGTTTAAATTCCTAACAAAAAACCCTTTATATATATATATATATATATATGATCTCACCTGATCAGAAAGAATCATTGGCCTGCCACGCGTTGTTGGATTGCTATTTTCATCGGAGGTATGGAGAGAAAGGGGGTGTACCTGCAAAACACTTTGATGTTTAAGTGAATAAAGGATCAAAGAGAAAGCAAGCACATAGGTTAGGTGTGGAGAAGAAGTTACCTGACCCTATAGTGAAATAGGGTATTTATAGTGTGCCCCCAGCGCAAGGTCAACGATTACATTGTATTGGGCCAGACTGTCAGGCCCAACCCAAGTAACTGTCAGGGCTTACGTGGCGTAGTGAAGACCAGCACATGGTCTTCGCCCTATATTAACTTCCCAGTGATCTTCGGAAGGTGGGTTGACCGACTCTTTTAGAGGTAGGTAGTTATTTGATAATGTGTCTCCGCGTGGGGGAAGTGCATGAGCTTCCCCGTCAAGAAGGTCTTCTGCTCGACGCATGTGTCTGGTTGAAGCCTGTTCCCGACAGAGGAGGATTGAGCCTTGTTGGGCCTCA